AAATCGCCACCGCTTTTAGAGAGTGACTTCAATTTACTGCTTTTTCATTACAAAATATTGCTCAAGCTGGGGATATAGTTTACTGCTGCCAACAGTTAAGCTACGCTGCCAAAATCTCCGGCAATTTTTTTTTCATACCATAAAAGCACAATTCCACTTTTGCTAACAAATTTCAATTAGGTCGGAAGTTGACTTGCCCGAAACAAATAGAAAAGTTAATATAATTCAATTAATTAAGCAGAACCAAGAATTAGGACCCCTGAAAATTGGAGTTAGAAAGAATTATGTATCGTGTCCCTTGTTGTTGAGCTAGGCTCAGCAAGATCTTAAGTAGGGGTCGTCTGCTCTTTGGGTGGAAAACTTTTTTCGTTTTCAAAATCCTAAAAAATTAAGGACCCTTTTCCTAGGATTTTGCTTCAAATGAGGGCCCCCATTCTTAGGAAGGACCCTCTTAGGATCCGGGACACGGTACAATACTACTCCCTGTCAAATATGATTCCGTGGTTAATTCTAATTTGAACTTTATAAAAAAAAAAGAGATTTTTTTTTGAAAACGTCCCCGTACTCCATTCTTTTATAAGTCAATTGGAGGGTTCATGCTCACCTTAAGGGATGCTCAGCAAGTCTGAATATAACCTACTCTCAAAGACTTTACTCTGAAAAATTCTCGAACTTAACGTTTTCTTTAATCTAAGTAATTCTTCGACATGGTAATAAATATATAACTCAGTGTACTTTCCTCAATGCTGAAATTTTTACTGATTGCTTTTTTTTCTCGATCAAAATTAGAACAAAAATCCAAAAACTGAAACCGGTTTTTCTCTAAAATGGAAAGTTTTGACGGAAATCCAGTCATGACTGCAAAGGCTTCATTTTGATATATCATTCAACCCATTCCGACTACTGTTTGTGATACCTGATTTTCCGTGAAAAATAAAAAAAGTAAAAAATAATCATAACACACCTGAATACAAAGTAATTTCCACTCTCAGTGGTCGAAATTTCCGTTCTTATAAGTCAGAGCCAAAAGTTTTGATTGTAAAACAAAAAATTTTAATAAACATATGAGCAGTTTTGGGAATGAACTCCCTGCCTTTTTGAAGTTTCAACTATTTCAGATTCCACGCCGGACTTTATTATCTCTGCTTTTAATTTGTTACAGTTTTTAGTTATCATACATATCATGCAACTCTCGATGTTAAAATCATTGACAAACCAGTCCTTTTTTCCCTGTTTTTGGCAAGTAACTTCTTCTAGCTGCTCAGCACAATTAGCTTTTTCTCCATTTTATGTTGGAAATGTGTTTCAACTCAATTTTTGCATCATATGAAAGGGATAAACTTCTATAAAATATTCAAAAAAAGTATAACTCACTCGATAGTGTTAGAATGACGATTCCTTGCTTTTCCATATCAAAGTAAGCTGCTTTATCACTCAGCAAAAAGTATGACCAATTTGATTTTGCCCGAAATGTCTCGTTCTCATGATGGTTCCTAAAGGGCCTACATTCCATCTCCAAACAGCTCATCTTTTTTTCACGTTGCAGTAGCTGTTTCATTGTAAAATAAACAGCGGATTCGTCAAATATCAAGTTTTCGTCAAAATAGTCCAGAACTCGTAGCACATTACGGGCCTAAAGTGTGTGTCTTGAAATCACCAATGAAAGTTTGTAACAAAAATTCCTTAGTTTTTTTAGTATACATCTTCGACGTTTTAGCGCCATAATAATTGTCTAATTTTCAGTTGCAGATTTTTTAGCGCCAAGGTTGGAGTGATTTTCTTTGTTTATCAGCGTCAGTAATTTCCCGTTCTTGAGAAAATGCGGCTTAATTATTCTGCAATTTTTCTGCACTGGCGAACGCCCCCAAAATTACGAGGTAATTTTTTGGGGCCTGATTTTTGCAAAACAGATTGCATCATGTTAATTCTATTTAAAAATTAAGCAAGATTAATCTTGATCATTTTTTCATTTTTCATCCAAAATGAACCCAATGCGAGAAAAACGCGTTTTAAAGTTCAACTTTCCGTCATTTTGCACGGATAATTTAAATCAGCACTGTATTGCGAACAAAACACTGTTTGCAAACTTTGAGGTGCTTGCAAAAATGTGTCAACAAAAATACTTACAGACTTGGTCAGTGCAACTGGTGAGAAGCTGAATGCGTATATGTAAGCATTTCTTTGAGTTATTCTGAAGTGCTTTTCAAATGATTTTTCACATAGTGGTTCCGTTGGAACATCCTCCAGTAAAGGCAGTTTCACACAGACTTTTCGAAGGAACAATGACGGCTTTTCCACTGTTATAAAAACTATGGGTGTAATCAGACGCTTTTCGCCGTTTAATTTTTTTGACTTCATTAGATGATGCACTTCAATGTTCACCTTTCTCGGAGCCAGAACGCAATTTTCGGGAAAACTTATTGATATAACACTGTTGTCTGGGCAGCGAAACTCTACATATTGCCTGGCTCTTGTAACTTGGATTCGCTTTGTGACTCGATTGCCAACTCTGGGACAACAGAATTTCGTTTCAAGCACTAAAAGTCAAAGCAACAAAAATAGAATTAACTTTAGTTCTCCAAAATACTGGGAGAAAAATAAGCATGAGATTTTTGGCTATCCAAGTGAACTTAACCATAGAAAACAAACCATCACTCCATTACCAGTCTTCGAAAATGGTCAAATCAAAAATCAGCAGTTTTTTTGATTACTTACCGTAAGCTTTCCCTTAATACCTTTTGAAAACTTTGATGCAGCTACTTGAGGCACAAAACATTTTACAAAGACTCAAATTTTAGCTAGAGATCAGTGAGAATTAAATATACCCAATATTGCTCAAATTGATCATCATAATGTTTCGTGATTTTTTAATCCGATCAGTCGAACCAATCAAAAGTGAACTAAAAAAAAGCTCTATCCGACCCCAGATGTAAGCGATAACACAACACCCAATTTAAAAAGAAATTATTGTAAAATTGAACCTATCAGGTTTTTTGCACAAAAGACAAAAGTTGAACAAGGTACTCGAAATTTTCAAAACTCAAGTCAAAATAAGTTCCGAAAACCATCACTGACGTTTTTTTTCCGGGGCTTCATCTCTTGGCCAACCAAACTCTTTTGAAGATATTGAACGTTGCCATTCATCAATGTCAGCTGAAACCAAACGTAAATATGTATCATAAGTAGTAGACGAGTGAGCAGAGCTGGGGGGGGGGTGGGCTATTACTGGCGGGTACCCATGTACTAAGATAGGTCAAATAGTTTATTCGATACAGTGAAGAAAGTACAATCTGCAAAATCATTCACTGCATAAGGGTAACTAGAACAGGCTTTTCAGCCTAACAAGTAGCTACCCCCCGGGATAACTATTAAAATTAAGCAACGACAAAGATCAGTTCATGCTAAATAGAAAAAATTGTCGATCAGCTGTACATTATCAAAAATGTAGTTTTCCTTGAAAATTTTTTAAAAGTTTCACAGTTTCTCATCAGAGTAAGTTTCAATGTTATCTGGATGAAGCATATTTGACATCAAAAAAAATAAAGCATTTCACAGTTTTATAAGAGAGGGAATTTTCCATCATTTTTGTTTTGCAGCGGAAAAAGGGAATCATTCCATTTGAGGTAGAAGCTGTACTTCTTCGTAAAAAAAAATTATTAATATTCAGATAGTCTAATGGAGAACTTTTTTGGCATTGGAAAATTGTCTCTTTGAACATTTGATTTAAATAGATTTCATGAACTTTTTCTAAACCAACTTCAATAAATTTCGAAGTAATATGTTCAAATTTTTGTTTAGAGAAAATTGTTCGCAGCATCCTTCTCTGAAATAAATAATAGAGATATCCGGGATCACTGGCTATGTATTAAGATAGGGAATTGGTTTTCCTTGTATTAATGCATCGATATATGCATTAGGTAAAATGTTTCTCAAAGTAATGAGATAGATCTTAGGTTTCAGAATTTCAGATGTAAAATGGTAAGTGCCAAAAAAATTTTGGTGCCGAAAAAATAACATAAATATGCATCGTAAGCAGTAGACGAGTGAGCAGAGCTGGGGTGAAGTTGGTGTTGTACTGGCGGGGTACTACTTGATCTATCATCTTCCAACTGAATCAACTTAAAAGAAAACTTTGCTTAAAAAAATTGAGTTTCAGTCAGAAAATTCAAAGCAAAGTTGATACAAAATCCCTTCTTTACTGATAACACACATACAAAAATAGAAAAAACAATTTGACTCAAAAAATTGTATACTATTTATTTAGCTTTAATTATTTTATTTCAAGCTAAGTTTCAGACCAGAGACGTGTATACTTAAAGGTTCAAAACCAAATCAATACATCGGAGCTTTCATCTCTTCTTAGTCATTTTCCAATTTTTTTATCTAGAATCGTTAGAAAGTAAAAGAAAAAACATTAAAATCATTGCATAAACCTTCAACTATTCGCTTGAAGAACGCACTTGTCCTTGAGTTACTCAAAACACTGCTTTAGTAAAAACATAAAAACACTAATTAAGCAAAACTGTTCAATTAGTTGATGTCTTATTATCAAAAACATTTATTATTAACAAATTTTTGCATGACCTTTTGAATTCTTTAATTGCTCGCGTTGGTTTTTCCGTCAGCAATATCTTTTGAAAAAAGCAAAAAGTTCAAGTTATGAAAACACTGCTATACGATAAAACATGATAATGTTTGCTCATTTTTTCGATTTGAGACAAAATTTGATAATTTTTAAAAACTTTTTGTTTCTTCAAAAATACCAGTTTTCTGAAAAAATAATATAAATTATCCCACTGACTTTGATGAAGACTTTCAAAAAATCTACCCTCTTAAGTAGCTTGTCAATTTTGACATAAAAACACTAATTAAGCAAAACTGTTCAATTAGTTGATGTCTTATTATCAAAAACATTTATTATTAACAAATTTTTGCATGACCTTTTGAATTCTTTAATTGCTCGCGTTGGTTTTTCCGTCAGCAATATCTTTTGAAAAAAGCAAAAAGTTCAAGTTATGAAAACACTGCTATACGATAAAACATGATAATGTTTGCTCATTTTTTCGATTTGAGACAAAATTTGATAATTTTTAAAAACTTTTTTTTTCTTCAAAAATACCAGTTTTCTGAAAAAATAATATAAATTATCCCACTGACTTTGATGAAGACTTTCAAAAAATCTACCCTCTTAAGTAGCTTGTCAATTTTGACATAAAAACACTAATTAAGCAAAACTGTTCAATTAGTTGATGTCTTATTATCAAAAACATTTACTATTAACAAATTTTTGCATGACCTGTTGAATTCTTTTATTGCTCGCGTTGGTTTTTCCGTCAGCAATATCTTTTGAAAAAAGCAAAAAGTTCAAATTATGAAAACACTGCTATGCGATAAAACATGATAATGTTTGCTCATTTTTTCAATTTGAGACAAAATTTGATAATTTTTAAAAACTTTTTGTTTCTTCAAAAATAACAGTTTTCTGAAAAAATAATATAAATTATCCCACTGACTTTGATGAAGACTTTCAAAACATCTACCCTCTTAAGTAGCTTGTCAATTTTGTTTGGAAGTTGCTCAGCAATCAATCACCTTTTGTAATTTACCTTCAACAAAAACAAAAAATAAGGTTGGAATACTTCTTGTAATTTGTACGAAAAGTTTAGTTCGATCACTTCAAAAGAACACATTGCTTACAATATCGTGATGTTTGTAAGCGTGCGTATTCTCTGCGACACTCTTTACATGCAACTCTTCCGTTTCTATTCAGTGAGGTCATATCAAAAAAGGAAAAACTTAGGGTTAGACATTTGAAAAATTGAGAGATGCAATGAAAAATCCCAAAAAATTTAGAGGGACTTTTACTCTAATATTGAAAAGTCCCAGATGTTGAATAAAGTAAATAAAAACTGTCAAAATAATCAAAATGTATTTTATCTTTATTGGTGAAGCTCAAAGAAAAAACAATCAATCAGAATTGAGCTATACTTATCATGGAACGTTCATCAGTTCTGATGTCAAACAATTAGAACCGAATCTTACCTATTTTGAAAAATTTCATCCAATTTGATAACAATCAGTCAACCAGTTACAACCGTGCTTTATTTATAAGGGAATTTTTATCTTTTTTAAATTTTTAGCAATCAGATTGAGTATTACTCATAATTGAGATTTTTTATCCATTTTGATATCAACCAATAAGAATCGAGATTTAAAAAGTTTTTTTTTCATAATATTTAGTTTAAATTTTTTAGAGCTGCGCTTTATTTATAATGAGTTTTTATATTTGCTTTGATGTCAACTATTCAGAATGAAATATTCAAGACTTTTTCACAATTTTTCAGATGAGAAAAAGGACACCTAAATTAGAGTTCAAAATCAGTCAATCAAACAAAATTAATCAAATTTTTATTAAAAAAACACAACTAACCTATTAGTTTGACCTCAAGGACATATAGATAAAAGATACTTTGAATAAGAATTGTTCATAAAACTTCTTCGACATTCGTTACAAACCTTACCTAATTTTCTGACCATAAAAAATCAAAAAAAAATGAGTCTTTTTTAAAAAAACATTGAGTTGAAATACATTCACTTTTTCAGAGTGAAAAATGTGAGAAAAGCATACGTACGTTTTTTTGACTGTGTTTCATGCGATATTTTTTCAAAAAAAGAAGAAAAAAGAGCCCGTCATCTGCAAAAGCAGTGCAACCCAGATCAACTGCTAGCAAAACAGCGAAAACACTATTTTAGAGCTGACGCATTTGGACTACTCGATTCCCCAAGAACACTCTCTAGGCAAAGTCGAGAGTTAATCGACACTGCGTAGTAGGTCTACGAACGGTATTCACACATTTCGTCCCTCACACATTTCGCCCCCTAACATTTCGCTCCTAAAATTGTACATTAGTAAAGCGGCGGTTGATTAACTGTGTAATAAGTTAGGGACGAAACATGCGAGGACGAAATGTGTGAAAACAGTAGGGGCGAAATTTGTGAGGGGCGAAAGGTGGGACATTTCCTACGAGCATATGGTAACTAAAACATCTTTGAGCTTGGGAATCAATGCGTTTTCCAATTCAATTCTTGTTTCAAACCAAGCTTTTCGAAAACACCTGAGGAGTGGACAACTTATGAACAGCTCTTAAATTGATTTCATAGCAAAACTAAACGAAAGCACTTCAAAAAAGTTTCAACGAGTGCGATATTCCTGTTTAAAAAAAGCATAAGCTAGATTTTTGTAGCCTGATCATGAACAAGAAGGACAAGCCCGATCAGCTAATTCCGGACAATGTTGAAACTGAACTCATAAAGTTCGGCTTCGAGGAGAATATTTTTGTGGGTGATGATGACCAATTTCGGAATACTACTATTTACCTGTACACAGCAATGCATTTTGTCTTTTTTGGCAGAATTTGACAATTGGATAAATGATTAAACCAATTTTCAGCACAATCAGCACTATTGCATCACCTGGAACCAGTTGGGTAACTGAAGGAATACGAAGTCTCAATCAGAACTTGGCTTAGCCAAACTATCTCAAACCAATCCAGGCCCCTGTATATCGCAGTTTAGATCAAATCAAAAAAAATTCCCCCAAAAAAGGTCACAAAATATGAGCAAAAAAGACTGCTCTAAGACCGATTCAAAAAAAGCATATTTGTAAAAAAGCTGAGGTCGAATAACAACAAAAACATCTAACAAACGTGAGGTTGAGACAGAAGGCAGTGTTTAAAAACCTCATTTTGCAATTTTAAACCTTACCTGTTGTTTGAGGCAGTCAGACTATTCCCTTTCGGTCATCACTTAAAAGCTGATGATAATTTTTTCGCCGAAATAACTGATAAGTTTTTAAACGGATCCAAAACTACCGAATTAATACGAACTGAAAACAGCATAACTGATTTCGAAAACTCCCTGAGGAGGCAAAGTCATTCAACTAAAAAAGATTGTTTTTCGGTTAAAACATTTTTAACTTTGAAAGAGTGTACCAAAACTTTCGCTTGAATTTTTCCAAACTCGCTTTTAATAATTTGTTGACAGGTGAAATTGTTGTTCACTTATAACATTAACGCTGACTAGAAATTGTCCAACAACATTTAAAATTATTTAAAAAAACCGGGTCACAGGATTTAATTCGATGAACAAAGTAA